ATGTATATGATGTATATGTATATGATGTATATATGTATATGATGTATATATGTATATGATATATATATGTATATGATGTATATGTATATGATGTATATGTATATGATGTATGTGTATATGATGTACGTGTATATGATGTATATATGTATATGATGTATATACATATATGATGTATATATGTATATGATGTATATGTATATGATGTATGTGTATATGATGTATATGATGTATATGTATATGATGTATATGTATATGATGTATATGTATATGATGTATATGTATATGTATATGATATATATGGATGTACATGGCATGCATTGTCTACTTTTTAAAAACAGTGAAAAGTGTATATTGATCTCTTTCAGCTGTGTAGACACTATGAGAGGAAAGCTTAGGTTCAGTATTCTAGTATCTGGTATACAGATCATGGGAATGTTTCCTGACTTACCAAGAGTACACAGCCATATGTGTTCTGAATCTTCCTCAAAAAGCGAGAAAAATCTAAAGCTATCTTTTCCCTCTTCATGAAATTTCACACCAGTATTTAGTAGAGCATGCTTTCGAGGGGGATTACTCTTGAGGAAATCAAATGAATTTATTTTTTAATATAAACTGATTTGTACAAATGAATACCCTCTCGGTTTTTGTAGGATGGCTTCTCTGTTAATGCAGAGGATAAAGGAATCATGGGAAAGTTTTAGATTCATGAGTGACAGATGTCCTGCACTGTCACTTTTTAAAGAGCCTTAGGTTTTTCCCACCCTAATGTCAAGTCCTTAGTGACTTTGCCAGGGAGGTGACTGGAAACACACAAATATATCCTCTATTACTAAACTTCCAGTTTTTTCTAGTTTCCCCAATTAAATTAGCCAAGAGGCACTAATCTGACGGGCTTTGAAATGAACATGTGAGAGGGTTTGATTTTCACTCTGGAAATCTTGACCACATCTCACTACTGGACAGAACAACATATGACTAACTGTACGCCTTACCTAAGACAATCTATTGTGTTAGCTATGAGAAGTCATTCTGTAAGTCATTTTAGGATTGCAAACTAAAGTTACAGGAGTTGCTGTATCACTGTAAGACAGGGAGACAGAAAAAGGGAGTGTAGAAATGTTCATGAAATATATGCAAATGATCAAGCCATTACATTATTGGAAAATAGATTGGGGTAAGGTGGGAGGTTGCATGGGAGAAAGAAAAGGGAATCCTTCTGTCGCTCACACTTGCATAAGACAGACTCCAGTAGAGGGCTGGGTTGGCTCTAGAATCCTAACCCTATTCTTAAGAGGTTTTTATGAGTTTTTTTTCCCCCTCTCAATACCTACTTCGCTTATATGAGCTCTAACTCTAAAAGCAGTGTTTGTGAGTGTTCATTCAACTAAGAAAAACTTGAAACTTTGATCATGTAGGAAATTATCAACCTCATATATGTATCATGTATATCCTTGTGTGTCAGTATCTGGGTCTGTGAGCCCGTGTCCTCATGGGTGGCTTTCTACCTCCCATTTGGTATACTCTGTGACCCGTTGGGTATCTCAAAATCAGAACCAGCAGTCAGAACAGGGAAAATGATGTCTTGTCTAGGGCTTGAAACCCGGGGCACCTCTAAGTTAAGAACGCACGCAGATACCTTGTTCGACTAGAGTGGGTACCTACCTTGTCTAGGGTACTCGTCGGCTTCTCTGTGGACCAGATCCTTTACTCTGTTTCCGTAAAGCAGCCGTGAAGAATCATGATCAAAAGCTTTCAAGGTTTCACTGGAACTATAGGACTTCTGCGTGGGGACCCTACACTCCTCATTGTCCGCGGACGAGTTTGTATAGCGCCGTTCCTTTTCCCGTCTGCTCTTGGTCAAGGAGCAGTAAGGCCTGCGTTCCTTCACATCCATACTTCCTTCATTCCTTCTCTGTGCACATCGGTCCGGCTTCTTAGAACTTCAGCGCGCAGAGTTCAGCTCTCACGGGCCTTTCTGCGAAGAGAAACGGGTGGCATGACGTCAGCGAAAGCATCCTCAGACTGACACCTCTCTGGCCTTCTTGGCTGAGGATGGGCTCAACAGTAGCTTTGCGAGCCGGAATCCTACTTTCAATAGGAAATCGATAGTCCTAAGATTCTTATATTAACAAAGTCTGTAACACCAACAGGTGAGACAAACTCTTGCTCTGGGCATTCAAACCAAACATCTTACAGGATTCCTCTCCCCCCACCCCCAAGAAACACACTCATGGATACAAAATAAAAGTTAAAACTCTAGCTTAAAAAACACTATAGAAGCCCGCTAAAAATTGGCTGCAACGGTTTGTTCAGTTTTCCATAGAGGAAAACTTTTTGCTCATAGCATGTACCTCTTTTGCAAATAAATCGCCTTTCTCTTCCTTACCGCCCCGCTCCCAAAAAACACGTTATTATTTTTTTTCACCTCTTTAAAGCATAGGAACAAATTAGGAGATTCTTACAGCGGGGACTTCATCATATGAATTGAATAGTTTATTCTTTTTTTTTTTTTTTTTTT